CTACCGACAATGTGGTCGAATCCGCTAAATCTACTCATCAATTGCTCCAACCGATCACCATTCAGTTCTTGCACATCTGTTTTCAAAACAGTAGAAGATGATCTTTGCAGTACTGATTCCAGCAAAAAGAAACAAGACATTGATATCACTAGGAAACATGTTTCTATACAAATCCTTGTGTAAGGTTTTTAGGAAACCTAGAAGCATTTCCACCTCATCAGGTTCAAGTGGAGTAACTTTATTCCTTCCAACCCATACTAGATTCCATTTTCAGCACTCATCAAGAACATACTTCTGGACACTCGAAGGTGGCTCATTGTCATAGGCTTCAAAAGCCTTACAGATCCTTTCTGTCAATTCAGCACTTCCTGAACATGTTTATAAACAATTCAACCTTTTATATGTGCTCAATAGCATCTTCTGGAAGTGTTCTTTGAGTTATCTGATCTGGTTGAACAGAACATAGCATCTTCTGGAAGTGTTCTTTGAGTTATCTGACCTGGTTGAACAGAACATAGCATCTTCTGGAAGTGTTCTTTGAGTTATCTGATCTGGTTGGACAGAACATAGCATCTTCTGGAAGTGTTCTTTGAGTTATCTGATCTGGTTAGAAGAACATAGCATCTTCTGGAAGTGTTCTTTGAGTTATCTGATCTGGTTAGAAGAACATAGCATCTTCTGGAAGTGTTCTTTGAGTTATCTGATCTGGTTGGACAGAACATAGCATCTTCTGGAAGTGTTCTTTGAGTTATCTGATCTGGTTGGACAGAACATAGCATCTTCTGGAAGTGTTCTTTGAGTTATCTGATCTGGTTGGACAGAATCAAGCATTGATTTAGAAGATAAAATTGCCAATAGCATCTTCTGGAAGTGTTCTTTGAGTTATTGATCCGAAGAAGTGCATCAGCAGCCTTAGTCATTTGAGCAGCACATATAAAATTTATCAATTTTACAATTGATGAATCTGGACCACATTTCTACATGGATATTGAAGTTTCAGCACTTGAGAATCCCATTTTTGTCAAGTATAACAGTTTATTTTCTTCATCAGAATCAGAATTCAAGATTTCTTGGTATTAAAAGAATTATCGATATCTGTGAAATCATCTTGAAAGGCCACTTCATAATCAGATGAGCTGTTATCAGAATCAACATGTTGCCTGAATGCAAGCTTTTTAAGAGCCTATACAATTGAGTTTTATTCTCAAGAAATTTTTGTGACATTATATCTACCTCTACATTTGTTAAAGAGGATAGATTTTATGATTTGAAGAAGAAAGATTTATTGGGTTTCTACAACTGAAGAAATACTCAGTTCACCAATCTGAAATCAAATAACTTAACATTCATGCATCATATTTTAGGTGTTTTACAAAAATAGATGCATTTTCATTCATTTTTATTCTTGTCGAATTGTTAACAGGAATTTCAAAAATTTTAGCAAAGACCTGAATCCATCATTTGGTGGATCAACATTACCAGAGAAGGTTCATAATGAGAAGAACTCATCTGAAGAAGGAAGAAGAAGTTCATAATGAGAAGAATTTGTTCAACCTTTTACCTGAATCCATCATTTGGTGGATCATCTCTTTCAGAGAAAGTTCATAATGAGAAGAACTCATCTGAAGAAGGAAGAAGAAGTTCATAATGAGAAGAACTTGTTCAACCTTTTACCTGAATCCATCATTTGGTGGATCAACATTTCCAGAGAAAGTTCATAATAAGAAGAACTCATCTGAAGAAGGAAGAAGAAGTTCATAATGAGAAGAATTTGTTCAACCTTTTACCTGAATCCATCATTTGGTGGATCATCTTTTCCAGAGAAAGTTCATAATGAGAAGAACTCATCTGAAGAAGGAAGAAGAAGTTCATAATGAGAAGAATTTGTTCAACCTTTTACCTGAATCCATCATTTGGTGGATCATCTTTTCCAGAGAAAGTTCATAATGAGAAGAACTCATCTGAAGAAGGAAGAAGAAGTTCATAATGAGAAGAATTTGTTCAACCTTTTACCTGAATCCATCATTTGGTGGATCATCTTTCCAGAGAAAGTTCATAATGAGAAGAACTCATCTGAAGAAGGAAGAAGAAGTTCATAATGAGAAGAATTTGTTCAACCTTTTACCTGAATCCATCATTTGGTGGATCATCTTTTCCAGAGAAAGTTCATAATGAGAAGAACTCATCTGAAGAAGGAAGAAGAAGTTCATAATGAGAAGAACTTGTTCAACCTTTTGCTTGAATCCATCATTTGGTGGATCATCTTTTCCAGAGAAAGTTCATAATGAGAAGAACTCATCTGAAGAAGGAAGAAGAAGTTCATAATGAGAAGAACTTGTTCAACTTTTTGTTTAAATTCATCATTTGATGGATCAACATGGCCAAAGAAAGTTCATGAATGAGAAGAACTCATCTGAAGAAGGAAGAATAAGTTCATAATGAGAAGAGCTTGTTCAACCTTTGTTTGATATCATCTGAAGAAAGAAGAGAAAGTTCATAATAAGAAGAACTCATCAAGAGTTTATTCAACCTTTTGAATGACTCTATCACAGAAAGGAGGTCATCATCATCCCCAGCAGAGAGTTCATAATAAGAAGAACTTATTTGGAGAGAGAGAAGAATTTACTCAATATCTCCATTATAATCAAAGTAAAGTCAAATGGATAAAAAATTTTATTATCTTTTCATCTTTGCCCTATTCTTGTTAACAAGAATGAGCAAGAGGGGCAGCTGAAGATACTATTTTTTATCCATTTTATTATTATTATTATTAATATTAATATTATTATTATCATTATTATTATTATTATTATTATTATTATTATTATTATTATTATTATATTAATATATATATTATTATTATTATTATTTAATAAATAATTACAACTGGACCGGCCCAGTTACAAGCCAACTAGAACCGGTCCAGCCAACCAAAAACCCTAAAACAATTAGTAAGGTTTCAGCTAGGGTTTCTAAACCCTAGCCACACCCAGCCGCCTCTGATGCTTCCAGATCCCAGCCGCCGCCTCACTGCCAAGTGGTCCAATGGCCCACTGCCGACGCCTCCGCCGCTGCCACGTCCCGAATGAAGGCTCCAGAAGATCAACACCGGCCGTCCACGCCAAGGCTACGGGGTGAGTCACCACTGGTAGTCCGGTGACTCACCAAAGCCCTCTCTTCGGACCGGTCCGATGACCGCACCGGTGGTGGCTATAAAAGCCACCACCCACCTGCAAGACAGAGAGGAGAGACAGGACGAGACACAGAAAAAAAAAAAAAGGGGAGGAAGAACCGAGACAGCCAACAACAAGAAAAAAAAGAGGATACAACAACAACGAATAGCAACCACAGCAGTAAACCAAAGGAAAAGAGAAGAAGAAGACTTACCCTTGAAGCCTTTGTGGCCCTCGGAAGCCAAACGTTGCCAAACCGCCGTTTAAGAAGGTAGAACCCTTCGGTTTTGTTTAGATTTACTCCGATTAGGAGTCTTTTAGGGAAAACAAAGACCGGAATCGGTCTTAGGGCATTTAGATCTACAATTTGGGGGTGTCTTTGGTGAATTCCGACCACCGTTACGGTGGCCGGCGGCGGTGGCCGGCGGCGGAGTACGGTGGCCTATGGCTGCCGGTTTCCCTCCGGTGAGGGAAACCTAGAGAGAGGCGAGAGAGAAATCTCTCTCTCAGTTTGAGAGAGAGAAGAAAGAAAGGAGAAATGAGATGCTGGCCCGAAGGGCCAGCCAACCTAGGGTATTTATACCCTCTCTTAAACGGCGTCGTTTAAGGGAGGACCTGTGCGTAATTATAGAAAGGTTAAATCCTTTCCGCAGTCCTCTAAATTTGTAAACTTTATATTTTAGTCACTGAACCTAATTTTAGATCTTTATAATTTGGTTCTTTAATTTTGGATTTATTTATTTTAGTCCTTTCTATTAAATAATATATTTAGGATAAATACGTATTTAATCCTTTAATTTTAATAAATAATATTTTAATCCCTAGCTTATATTTTTAATTTATTTGAATCTAATATCCGAATTTTAGATGATTTTATTTTAGTCACTAAATAAATAAAAATAAAAAATAACATATTTAATCCCTATAGTTTTGATTAATTATGAATTAATTTTATTTTTACTGCAATTTAGTCATTTATTTTATATGTTTTAATTTATTTTATTGTTTTTAAATATATTGTTTTAATAGAATTATTCTTTTATTATATCGTTAAATATTTTGATATATATTCATAAATATATATAATAAATATTAACTTTTAAATATTTATTTTTAATAATATCGAAGAAAAGGACAGTCTTAATACAACTGGATGTCCTATTCTGATATTTTAAAATTAAACAATATTATTTAAATTAATATTTATCAATATCAAAGAAAAAGAGCTGTCTTAAGGCACCTAGAAGTTCTTTTCGGATATTTTTAAATAAAAAATATTTTTTATATAATTTTGAAATAATAGAATTATAAATTAAATATATTTTTGAATTTTTAAAATTTTAATACTAGAGACAATTTATAATTAAAAAGTACCAATTTTGGGCGTTGTAGGGGTGCTAATCCTTCCCTAAACGTAACCGACCACGAATCCCTTTTATTATTAAAAAGAACGAATTTTTGGTTATAAAACGCAGATCAGTTCATCTTTTAAATATTGTTTTCTTAAAAACTCTTTTAAAAGATAATTTTTAGGTATTCGACCTACCTGACTCAAAAAGGCCGATGGCGACTCACAAATTATTTTCAAAATTATTTATTAACATTAATTTCCCCGCCAAAATTTAATATTTCGTGCCCGGACGAAAACCGGTTACGACAAATGGTATTCCGTACTTTCTCGTGCATAGCTACTGGTGTTGTCTGACATACTCTGTTGAGTGTTGATCAAGTTTTTGATGTAGGATTAATATGATTATTTGAAGCAATTTGTTTTAGGCTCTTACTTTAGAGTTTATTTAACTTGTTCTCGTGAATGTGCGTATCCAGATGGATCTGTGCACAATATGAACGAGTATATGGAGATTAATGCTGCTGATGTGGTAATAAATCTACCACAGGAATTGAATAGTGAAGTTCTTGGTCAAAAGCAGGGGATGGTAATTGGTGAAGCACAGCTTGAGGAATTATTTTCTCGGATTTCTTGATATGGTGGACACTTGTGCCTAAAACCTTAGAACTTGCATCTTTCGATGCAGAGCATTGGAACACTTAAAACAGCTGCTGTGCAAATTTGTTTCTGATGCTGTTATATATGTTGTTTGACACAAGCCTGCAAAATTGAAGGAAAACAACAGAATTAAAGCGACATTTTCCGTATATTTCTGGTTTATGATAGTGTTAAAATTCTTGATTTGGCCATATAGCTGGAGGAATTATACAAGCCTGCAACAAATTATGTTTGTGTGGGTTCCTGTTTTATGTTTATGTATTGATAAGGCATAGAGTGCGCTTGTGGTGGGGCATCTAATTATAGATAACATTATTTCTGGTTGCATACAAGGTGCTTCAATCTTTCTATAATAAGCATGTTGGCTGGAATGGGTCTTTTCCTCTTGATCTTGAGATGAGCAAGGTTTATTTATGATAGGGTGGAGTAACATTTCCTTGATTTAGTACTGCAAAAAAACGACCTTCTTAGACGGTTGGATTCAACGCATAATGAAGTGTCTATACTCAATCAACATGCGATAGTTGTAAATGAGATGGTTAGCGACTGTTTCCGACCATCACAAGGGTTGAGACAAGGAGATCCATTGAGCCCCTTTTCTATATTTGATCAGCTTCTCCTAGTGGACGCCTAAAAGGTGCTAGAATAACTGGGAATCATATTGAATTCCTTGAGCCACCCGAACCCCAGAGATGAGATGAAGTGCACTGGTCCCCTTGGTCCGGTTCAGACGGAACTTATGCACAATCCATACCTCGAAACAGGACGGTATGTTCAGAAGTTGTGATTCAGGGTAGCGAAGGAGAAATTTCGGGATCGTGTTGGAGGAACTGTTACCGGGTGAAGTCCATTTTTGGTGTGAAAGCTTCAGCAATGATGCATGATCTTCAGTTTGGTAAAGAACTGGGACTTAGTTTTGGAACGTGATTGCCAAGTGCAAGTGGAGACAGATGCATGATTCCTCTCTGTTTTTGCTACTTCGAGAGAGAGAGATTATTATTATTATTACTAAGTGCTCTTAAGGGTGTGTAAAAAAACCTAACATAATCGATCCGGTTTGAAAATTCGGATATCCAATCTTTTTAGTGATTTTTGGATAATTTGGATCGGATATCCAAGAAAAAATAGATGATTAAATTTGTATAGATCATCTAAATTTTAATTTTGGATTATCCTAAAATCTGATAAAAATTAAGCATTTAGAGGTTAGACAACCTTTAGCGAACAACCTACTAACAAGTTAAGGCTCTAGCCTAATAAAAATTATAATGTTTAATTGTTTATTGTAGGTGAAAATTAATATATATAGAATATAATTTTATAATGTTGCACACAAATTCAACAAATACAGAATTTAAATATGAATTTTTCATCAAATTAAATTTTATGTTCGGATCCAGTTATTTGATTCAAAAATGAACATATTCAAAAAAATTAGATATATGATTTTTTTTCAGATCATATACAAATTACAATATTAACAATTTATTTTTTTTAATATTTAAATTTTCAAATCGAATAATATATGATATATGAAAATAAGTACTCCTAAGAGTTCCTTCAAAGATGAACAAAAATACTAAATTTTACCCATTGAAAGAATTTACTCTAAAAACTCATTTAATGATTTTAGTGGTAAAAATAATTATTCTTTTATGTAGAAGATTCAGATTTAAACAGTTGCATATGAATATATATATATATATATATATATATAATATTAATAAACCAAAAAATCTAAATATAGATTATTTCATAAGCACCGTAAATTACTAGAAAAAAATTTACTCTGGTACATTTGGCATTGGTAGTGGTAAATATTGAATTCATATTCTAGTTTCTTAGCATTTATAGGGTAAAGTACACAAATGGTCCTTCAATTATAGGATATTATTTTATTAAGTCTATCGACTATTAAAAGTTACAAAGTGGACCTACGACTATAGAATATTACTTTGTTAAAGTCCATCGACTATTAAAAGTTACAAAATGATCACTCTGTTATTTATTATATTCCAAACTCATCATTTTTCTAAGATGGATATTAATATGACGACTGAGACATGATAGTCATTTGAGATTCTGATATCAAATTTTATTATATCAAAGTCAACAGGTTAATGTTCAACTCAGAATATCGTCAATTGTTAACAGAAGATGATGAGTTTGGAACAATATGAATAATTGAGTGACTATTTTGTAATTTTTAATAGTATCATTTTATAACTTTTAATAGTCGATAGACTTAATAAAATAGTACCCTATAATCGAGGGATTATTTGTATACTTTACCCTTTTTTAATAATTTGAGTAGTTACAAAACAATATTTGTTCAAAGATAATTTTTAATCATTTGGCATTGAATGCTCAAACTCATAATATTTTTTATGTCTAAACTCGAGACCTTAAAAATAATAATAACTTTTTATCACTGAATTCACTCTATTGATGTTTTTTTTAACAACTAGTACAATGAATGAGGGAGGTTGATGGAGAGTAAATGTAAACCTGCTCACATGAAAATGAAAAGAAAATAAAAATATCAGTTTCCTTATTCACAATGAGTGGAAAGACGACTCATTTAGCTTGTTGTTTCCTTGTTCACCTGAAAATGAAAAGAGAAAAATCTTGTACGATCACATTTTCTCAATCAAATATCATCTATCTTGTTGTTTCACTTTGAGGGTGGTTCTGCGGTGCGGCGCCTAAAAAACGGTTAATATACGGCGTGACCGGTTAAATAAGTGACCGGTTAAAATTTAGACCGGTTATGTTATATTATTTAACCGGAAATATTATAAAGTACAATAACATACTAGGTAGCGCTTATATAATGTAATAGGTAGCGCTTATATTTACCTATTTTATAAGTAAACCGGTATATTTATACCGATAGCATTGCAAATTTACCTATTACATTATATTATATTGAAAGTGTCCATACTTTTTATAAAAGGATCGATACTTTAACAGTGTTTCATGTTTTCCACCTACAATATTAATTTAATAATTTCATTTGCACAAAAAATTATTTGATTGTTTTGATATTTTATAAAATAATATTTAGAATTTTTAATTTAATAATAATATATATCGTAACGTAAAAAATAAATCATTAGACGCCTATAATTACTAAATTAATATCTTAAAACTCACTCAAAAGATAACCTTAAATTAATGTTTTCCACAGTGAAAAAAGTATGGACACTTTTATAAAAAGGATAGACACTTTACAATATAACCACTACCTATTACATTATATAAACGATATCTATTACATTATATAAGGGCTACCTATTACATCATATGTTTACCTATTATATTGAAAGTGTCCATACTTTTTATAAAAAAGATCGATACTTTTTTTAAAACTTATGTAATTTATGTTTCAATTTTTTTAACAGTGTTTCATGTTTTCCACCTACAATATTAATTTAATAATTTAATTTGCACAAAAAATTATTTGATTGTTTTTATATTTTATAAAATAATATTTAGAATTTTTAATTTAATAATAATATATATCGTAACGTAAGAAATAAATCATTGTACTTTTCCTCCTCATTTCTTCCATCTCTTCTTCTTCCTCCTCCCTCTTTTCTTCTTCATATTTTTTCAGTTCATCGTACTTTTTTTCTACATAGCTCTTCATATCTTTTATTTCACCCTTCAATTGAGCTCCTTCATCCGAGTATTTATCAACCACCCCCTTCACCCCCGTAAGTTCACTCCTCAAATCAACAACCTCCTTCACCACTCCCTCAAATTTTTCTCCCGTCACCATCTTAATATCACCCCTTAACACCCCAACTTCTTTCACCACTTCACCCCTCAACACCTCTACTTCTTTCACCACTCCATCTATTTTTCCTTCCACTACCCCCTTATTCCTCTCGAGTGTATCTTCGACTCTCTCGAGTTTCTCTACGACTTGATCAAGTTTCTCTTCGACTCTTGATTGTCTTTGCATGATTTCAAATTGGATTTTTTTGATATCAGCCAATTCAGACATCAAAATGTCGAAGTTACTCTGTTTGCTTCACCGTCGTCCCACTCACCTTCATCCCCAATACAACCATCCCTCCTTTCTTCTCCTCTGCCTCCACTGCCTCCTCTACATCCTTGCCAATAACCTTCAAAAATTAAATTACAATATTAAGACATTGATTATATTCTTAATATTATTTAATTACATTTATTACCATTTTTTGCTTCTTCTCTCTATCCAACTTCAACTTCACCATCACTCTAACCACCTCTTCCTTCCCCCATGCACGGATGCGTGCCACTCCGGTTCTTTCATAAGCCGGCACTGCCTCACAGCCCGACCAAAAATCGAACAGTGCAACCTGCATTTATAATAAAATTTATATTTTTATATAAAAACACAAAAAGTGATTCAACTCATTTACCTCTAAGATTGCTATGCACCCTTTGAGGTATCTCTGGCTGCCCTTTTTAAAGGTGATTATTGATTCAATCAATCTCGAATGGATATATTCAGCCCAATTGAATTCACCCTTCAAGCCTTCATCGCAAATGAGCTTCATATATTCCTTGTTCGTTGACGTATCACCCGTTGGACAAAGAAATATCCCGACAAGGTACAATAGAACTCGGGCCTTCAGCTCATCCCCCAAGTAAGATCCACTTTTGATATCCTCTTCAACTTCAGTATATGTCACCTTATGATTCAAACCATATTTGGAGGCAAGTGCTTTCCAGTTCTTACTCCTACAGACTTCTATAACACTTTTGCCTTTGTTTTGTACCCCCAATACGGCTGCAGCAGTCGATACCCCAGAGGGAATGAATAATCACCATACTTAGCCATACATTGACTGACGTCAAATTGTGCCATCAAGGATCGACACAATTCCCTCCGAATAGGTCGATCCCTTACTCCGATCAACGATCCAAAACCTATTTCTCCCAGCACATTCAACTGACCCTTCTCCTTAAGGTGTTTAATTAATAAATTCACCCTTTTAATGCTGCATCTTGTCGACACTTCCTACATTTTTAACAATATATAATGTTATAGTTCTTATATATTTTGTATCAACGTATTTACAAGTTTAATGAATACCTTATTTTCATGTGCTTTCCTCCGTTCTTTGTATTCTTTACTATCATTCCTTGACTGTGTGATGTAAGGTTCCTTTTCAGCATCACTCATTGAATTCCATTTGGACCTTACATCTTTTTTCACCTAATATTAAACATAAACGTTTCTTAATCAATACATTAACACTAAATACTAATACTACTCAATGTCAATTTCATTTTACATACCGAACCGCTCTGTGTGCCATCTCCCTTCATCCTTTTGCATTCGGCCATACTGTTAACATTTAAAATTTGTAATCAATTTAAAGTTTATCGATACTTTAATCCAATTACCATTTCAACAATAATAACAAAAAGACATTGATACTTACTAGAAGTACATATATCCACCCTTTCGTTGCTTTCGAGTCTCGGCCTCAATTTCAAAGTCATCTGCTCCACCAACAATTTTCCAACCCATTGACTCCATTTTTCCTTCATATATCAGTTTACGCAAATCAAATTATTTTGTTACATACACTTTTCAATATACAAATATAGATAACTACTCTTGTGGTAAAACGGTTTTCTTCAAAAGAATTTGAATGGCCACACCAAAATGTGTCGGCACATTTATACAACCTATAATATCATTTTCTACCTATAATATTTAATAAAAGTATCGACATTTATATTTTTCCTTGAATATCTATTTCTACCTACAATCGGTCACAAATGCTTCCTTACTCCAAAACCCCAAACAACACATAAAAAACCCTATCGCGATTACTGTAATAATAAAAAATTAGGGTTTCGACAACATACTTTTCGATTCGACTGCAGCAACAAACAAACAAACTTCGCTTTAGAAACGCCTTCTGAAATGCAGCAACAATTACTCTTCGATTTCAAAAACTCGTCCGTTCTATCTTTTTTCAGAGGATATTTAGCTATGGCCTTTATATTTTCATCGGATATGTTATTTATATTTAATCGATACAAATACAAAAGTGTCGATACTTTTATGTCAGGTGTCGATACTTTCGAAAGGATAATTACCTATTTCTTTGAAAGTGTCGATAATTTATTACACGTACTTACGAAAGTGTCGACACTTTCAATATATCCGGTATCATTTTACCGGTTTTATCATTTTGTTACCGGTTTTATCATATTTTTACCTGTTATATCGTTGTGGATCGATATATTTTTTTAAAGTATCGACACATTATAGGCGCTATAACTGCTTCTCTTTTAAATTCACAAAGTGTCGATCCTTATATAACGTATCGACACTTTTAAATTTACCGGTTTTATCATTTTGTTACCGGTTTTATCATATTTTTACCTGGTATATCGTTTTGGATCGATATATTTTTTAAAAGTATCGACACTTTTTAGGATTTAAAACTGCTTTTAAAGTTATGTAATTTATGTTTCAATTTATTTAATAGTGTTTCATGTTTTCCACCTACAATATTAATTTAATAATTTAATTTACACAAAATTATATTTGATTGTTTTGATATTTTATAAAATATTATTTAGAATTTAAATTTAACAATATTAACCAAATATAATAATAAATATGTTTTCAACAGTGAAATAAGTATGGACACTTTTATAAAAATGATATATACTTTTTTGAAAGTTATGTAATTTATGTTTCAATTTTTTTAATAGTGTTTCATGTTTTCCACCTACAATATTAATTTAATAATTTCATTTACACAAAAAATTATTTGATTGTTTTGATATTTTATAAAATATTATTTAGATTTTAAATTTAACAATATTAACTAAAGATAATAATAAATATATTTTCACAGTGAAATAAGTATGGACACTTTTATAAAAAGGATAGATAATTTACAATATAACAGGTAAAAATATGACAAAACCAGATTCATTATGACAAAACCGGTAAAATTTACTTGATATGTTAAACGTATGGACACTTTTATAAAAATGATAGATACTTACCGATAACCAAAGTTTACCGGTTACCAAATTTTTTAATAGTTTTTCATATTTTCTACCTAAAACATTATTAGTTGTCAACATAATAGGTACCGCTAAACCGAATTTATTAAATACATTTTAATGTATCCGGTAATACTGTATATTAGCCGTATATTAACCCGCCTTTCCTGAGACAATCCCCACTTTGGGCGCTTTTAGAAATCCAATTCAGCCAATCAGATTTCAGCAAACTCCATCGCCAGAATCCTAATAGATAGATGGAACTCTCTCACTCAGCTTTTCTCTCTCAACCTCACGATTGCAATCTCTCACTAAAACCGAAACCCATTTTGCCACGTGTTTGCTCCTGCAACCACAAACCTTGAAGAAGAAAACTTTTTTCCCGGAAAAGAAAAAAATAAAACCAGCAAAGCTTTCAGTACCCGGAAAGGAGGAGGAGAGTGCTCTGTAATGGCTTCTCTTGTTTCTTCACCCTTCACTCTGCCAGCTTCCAAGGCTGATCACCTTTCCTCTCTTTCTCAAAAGCACTTTTTTCTTCACTCATTTCTTCCCAAGAAAACGAACAGCAATCCCAACTCGAGACCTTCATTGAAAGTAAAATGTGTTGTTGGCAATGGCCTTTTCACTCAAACAAGCCCAGAAGTTCGTAGAATTGTTCCAGAGAACAAAAATGATCTCCCCACGGTCAAAATTGTCTATGTTGTCCTGGAAGCTCAGTACCAGTCATCCCTTTCGAGTGCAGTCCAGTCCTTGAACCAGAATTCCAGCTTTGCCTCGTTTGAAGTCGTTGGCTACTTGGTGGAGGAGCTTAGAGATGAAAACACTTATAAAACCTTCTGCAACGATCTCGAGGACGCCAATATCTTTATTGGGTCTTTGATTTTCGTTGAGGAGCTCGCCCTGAAAGTGAAGGCTGCAGTGGAGAAGGAAAGGGATAGGCTTGATGCTGTTTTGGTGTTCCCTTCAATGCCTGAAGTGATGAGGCTAAACAAGTTGGGTTCTTTCAGCATGTCACAGCTTGGTCAATCGAAGAGTCCTTTTTTCCAGCTGTTCAAGAGAAAGAAGCAAGGAGCAGGCTTTGCTGATAGCATGTTGAAGCTAGTGAGGACATTGCCTAAGGTTTTGAAATACTTGCCTAGTGACAAGGCACAAGATGCTAGGCTTTACATATTGAGTCTCCAGTTTTGGCTCGGTGGTTCACCTGATAATCTTCAGAATTTCTTGAAAATGATTTCCGGCTCTTATGTGCCTGCACTCAAAGGGACAAAGGTCGACTATTCTGATCCAGTTTTGTTCTTAGACAGTGGAATTTGGCACCCGCTGGCTCCTTGCATGTATGATGATGTGAAGGAGTATTTGAATTGGTATGGTACCAGGAGGGATGTTGATGAGAAGCTTAGGGGGCCTGACGCACCGATAATTGGATTGGTTTTGCAAAGGAGTCACATTGTTACTGGTGATGAGAGCCACTATGTAGCTGTGATTATGGAGTTAGAGGCAAGAGGGGCAAAAGTGATACCGATTTTCGCCGGTGGACTTGATTTCTCTGGACCAGTTGAGAAGTTCTTGATCGATCCGGTTACCAAGAAACCAATGGTGAACTCAGTGGTTTCGTTGACAGGCTTTGCTCTAGTTGGTGGACCGGCTAGGCAGGATCATCCAAGGGCCGTTGAGGCACTTATGAAGCTTGATGTTCCTTACATTGTTGCACTGCCTTTGGTTTTCCAAACAACCGAGGAGTGGCTAAACAGCACTTTGGGACTACATCCTATTCAAGTAGCTCTCCAAGTGGCCCTTCCAGAGCTCGATGGTGGCATGGAACCTATAGTTTTCGCTGGCCGTGACCCTAGAACAGGCAAGCGAAGTTACCCTTTTGTTACTACTCATACTTGATGTCTCGTTTTGCCTTTTTATTGCCTGAACTTGTTTTATTTTAGTTGCTTAGGTTTTAGTTAACGAGGAATTAAATAAAATGGTGCTTTGACTTTGATTTCAGGGAAATCCCATGCTCTTCACAAGAGGGTGGAACAGCTTTGCACTAGAGCAATCAAGTGGGCTGAATTGAAAAGGAAATCAAAGGTAACTGTTTTCCAGGGGAGCATAACTCCAAATCAAATAGCTTTTTCTAGAGAGCATATATATGTCTGTGTGTTTAGTGACTAAGGAGACATTGTATATGTGAAGATCCACTTAAGATACTATTAATTGTCGACTCTACTTTTCAGCCTTTAATCTAAAAGGGATCTTTAATAATCTATACATAAGCATATAAATCTTAGGCTATTATGCTGAGAATGTGTTTGATGTTGAAAATGATGATTGAAACTACAATATCCTGTTGTCTTTCTTCACATTTCATGGCCTACCATGTGGTAAAGCTTGAGAATATGCTGTTGCTATTGGCAGGATGTTACCGTCGACTAGCACATATGAGCTCTTTTTGTTTCGTTCGTTATGTTAATAGTATTTGTATGATCCTTCCTGCAGACTGAAAAGAAATTAGCAATCACTGTCTTCAGCTTCCCTCCCGACAAAGGGAATGTTGGCACTGCTGCCTACCTCAATGTTTTTGCTTCCATCTATTCGGTTTTAAAAGACCTTCAGAAAGATGGCTACAGTGTTGAAGGCCTTCCAGAGACTGCGGAAGCTTTAATTGAAGATGTAATTCATGACAAGGAGGCGCAATTTAACAGCCCAAATCTTAATGTTGCGTATAAGATGAGCGTTCGCGAATACCAGAACCTCACTCCTTATGCTCCTGCTTTGGAAGAAAACTGGGGTAAGCCTCCTGGAAATTTGAATTCTGATGGAGAGAACCTCTTGGTATATGGAAAGCAGTATGGTAATGTCTTCATTGGAGTACAGCCCACTTTTGGTTATGAGGGGGATCCTATGCGGTTACTCTTCTCGAAATCAGCTAGCCCGCATCATGGATTTGCGGCGTACTACTCCTTTGTTGAGAAGATCTTCAAAGCTGATGCTGTTCTTCATTTTGGTACTCATGGATCCCTTGAATTTATGCCTGGGAAGCAGGTGGGAATGAGTGATGTTTGTTTCCCTGATAGTCTTATCGGGAACATTCCTAATGTTTACTATTATGCTGCTAATAACCCTTCTGAAGCTACGATAGCTAAGCGTCGTAGTTATGCTAATACTATTAGCTATCTGACTCCTCCGGCTGAAAATGCTGGGCTTTACAAGGGACTTAAGCAACTGAGTGAGCTGATCTCGTCATACCAGTCCCTTAAAGACTCAGGTCGTGGGCAACAAATAGTTAATTCAATCATCAGCACGGCCAGACAATGCAATCTTGACAAGGATGTAAAGCTTCCTGAAGAGGGAGAGGAAATTTCAGCGAAAGAACGGGATCTTGTTGTTGGAAAAGTGTATTCCAAGATCATGGAGATTGAGTCCCGGTTGTTACCCTGTGGGCTTCATGTTATCGGTGAGCCTCCATCTGCTATGGAAGCAGTTGCAACGTTGGTGAACATTGCAGCTTTAGACCGACCTGAAGATGGAGTTTCGTCACTGCCAGCCATATTAGCTGAGTCTGTTGGAAGAAACATAGAAGATGTGTACAGAGGGAGTGACAAAGGTATCTTGAAGGATGTAGAGCTTCTGCGGCAAATTACCGACGCCTCACGTGGGGCAATTTCTTCCTTCGTGAAGCGAACAACCAACAAGAAGGGTCAAGTTGTTGACGTGGCTGATAAGTTAACCTCAATACTCGGGTTTGGTATCAACGAGCCCTGGATTCAACACTTATCAGAAACAAAGTTTTACCGTGCTGATAGGGAAAAGCTTAGGGTATTGTTTGAGTTCCTAGGGGAGTGTTTGAAGCTGGTTGTAGCTGATAATGAGTTGGGCAGTCTGAAACAAGCATTAGAGGGAAAATACGTTGAACCTGGGCCTGGTGGCGATCCTATTCGAAACCCGAAAGTGTTGCCAACTGGAAAGAACATTCATGCATTGGATCCACAAGCTATTCCAACAACAGCTGCATTGCAGAGTGCAAAAGTTGTGGTAGATAGGTTGGTTGAAAGGCAAAAGGTTGACAATGGAGGAAAATATCCAGAGACAATTGCACTTGTATTATGGGGAACAGATAATATCAAAACTTACGGCGAGTCACTCGCTCAGGTATTGTGGATGATTGGAGTAAGGCCAGTGGCTGATACATTAGGTCGAGTCAACAGAGTTGAGCCAGTTAGCCTTGAAGAGCTTGGCAGACCCAGGATTGACGTTGTTGTTAACTGCTCCGGCGTCTTCAGAGATCTATTCATTAATCAGGTACCACTGCTAGTGTGTTTAAAGTGGTTTCAAATATGCATTCGCTAATCCATGATTAGATGTCATATTTCTCTTACCAATTGCCATGTCTTTTCTTACCATTTTGTGCTCTTATTTCCTATTTCGGTTGACAGATGAACCTCCTTGACCGAGCCGTGAAGATGGTAGCTGAATTAGATGAACCAGTGGAGCAGAACTACGTACGGAAGCACGCATTAGAGCAAGCCAAAGCCTTGGGTATCGAGGTTAGAGAAGCTGCAACAAGGGTCTTCTCCAACGCTTCAGGATCTTACTCTTCCAATGTCAACCTTGCTGTTGAGAACTCCACATGGAATGATGAGAAACAGCTCCAAGATATGTACCTGAGCAGGAAATCATTTGCTTTCGACTGTGATGCCCCGGGTGCAGGCATGACCGAGAAAAGGAAAGTCTTTGAGATGGCGCTAAGCACAGCTGATGCCACTTTCCAGAATCTCGATTCCTCAGAAATTTCACTTACTGATGTGAGCCATTACTTCGATTCTGATCCAACGAATCTAGTACAAAACCTAAGGAAGGATGGAAAGAAGCCAAGTGCATATATTGCAGACACCACCACTGCAAACGCCCAGGTATGCAATATAAAACATTCCTCTGAGTGTTATAGGAATAGTCTCCTAGACGTGCAAGTTTTTAATCTGATCCTACAACTCTAATTACCATTAAGACGCCTCAAAAATCCCATTTTGCTCTAATTTAACAGGTTCGAACTCTGTCTGAAACCGTGCGACTAGATGCACGAACCAAGTTGTTGAACCCGAAGTGGTACGAAGGAATGATGTCCAGTGGATATGAAGGAGTTCGCGAGATCGAGAAGCGCCTTACTAATACTGTAGGGTGGAGTGCGACTTCAGGACAAGTGGACAACTGGGTATACGAGGAGGCTAATTCGACTTTCATTCAAGACGAGAACATGCTGAACAGGCTGATGAGCACCAATCCAAACTCATTCAGGAAGTTGGTGCAAACATTCTTGGAGGCCAATGGACGTGGTTACTGGGAAACTTCAGAGGAGAATATCGACAAGTTGAGGCAGTTGTATTCTGAAGTTGAAGACAAGATAGAAGGCATCGATCGATGAACTATAAACCGAAAATGTTAAAAATTTTCAAATATTTGTGAATGAGCCGAAACACTCTTAGAGAATTATGGATTGTTATAAATCAGCCATAATGAAGTTATTAGAAGCTACAATGACTCAAATCTCTAATGGTACCCTCGTTCATGCTCAAAACTTATTAGAAACCTCTCAACTCAACCAGAAAAAAGTCGTTTCACAATGCAAAATAAAACTTGTACTTTGAACAATCTGTGTTCATTAAACTAGTTGATGACGTGAACCGAGTGGTTTCGGACTAAGCGACGGGGATAACCTCGACATCATCTAAGACAGGCCCGCACATATGCCCGAAATCATCCAACTTGGTGTGGTAGTAAGCACTGTAAAATGTGGTCCTTGTTCTTGCATAGGTTGCCTGGAACTTAAAACTGGCCGTCTTGGATCCTCCCTTTCCTTCAGATACATATGGGACTTTGAGTTTGCTTGCTGGCGAATACTTCGACCATCATCGATCCATGGCAGTTGTTCTTGGCGTCTCCTACGGTGAAACTGATTGTGTATTGTTTGTGGGGAACATTTATGATAACTTGTGCAATGGCGCTCTCTCGTCCGGCAACCATTTCGATGGCGAACAGCCCCGATGGGACCGAGAAGTGTTTCTTGTTGATGAATTTCACGGGCTTTAGGGACTCGATGATCCATCCAGGGAGTGGTGAAATGGTGTCTTGCTTGTGCGGAGGAAGGAGGACCCCTGTTGAGTAGTTTTTGAAGGTATGGGGACCTGCCTCGAACCCACCGTTTTTCACTAGGTTCCCTGTGATGTCAATTAAATAAATTCGGATTTCATATCCTTATACGTCGAATGTTATATTAATTTTGGGTAAAGTATAAAAATGGTCCCTGATTATAGAGTAATACTTTATTAAGTCATTTGACTATTAAAAGTTACAAAATAGTCCTATGACTATAAAGTTTTGCTTTGTTGAGTCCGTCGACTATTAAAAGTTACAAAATGGTCACACGACTATTCATTACGTTCGAAATTTATCTTTTTTGTTAAAAATGATGGTCATCTGAGTTGGACGTTAACATGATGACTGATATATGATTGTCCTTTGAGATTTTGAGATCATATTTTATCATATCACAATCAACGGGTTAACATTCACCTCCGACTATCCTCAATTTTGTAACATAAAATAATGAGTTTGAAATATAATGAATAGTTGAGTGGTCGTTTTGTAATTTTAATAGTCGATAGACTCAACAAAGTAACACTCTAGAGTCATAAGATTATTTTGTAACTTTTAATATTCGGGGACTCAACAAAGTATTATTCTATAGTCGGGGATCATTTATATACTTTACCCTTCATTTTTTTTATTAAAATAAATCATCTAAAATTATTAATTGACTAATAATCAAGACATATTATTGTCGTGACATTATCACTTGTGCTAATTATTAACAGGTTACATGTCACGTTATCAATGGAATAATGTGGCATGTGCGACATCATTTGTGTTAATTACTAACATGTTACATTACCAACTATACACATATATAAAGCTCATTTCAACATCATATGTTGATCATTAGGGGTGTGCAAATCCGGGTACCCGGAACTTCCGGGTCGATGATTTCTCGGCCCGTGTCTCAACCCGGATTTTACGGGTACCCGGTAATCGGGTATCCGGATTTTACGGGTATCCGATACCCGGTTTTTAATTTTTTATTTTCAAATTATTAATTTAAAAATATATATATACAAATTTAAATGTTCGAAACTTCAAATTACATACTCTAATATCCGAACATAAAATTTAAAAGTTCAAAATACAAAATATAATAATCCATAATATAAATAATTCAGTATATTTTATATAATTATATATAAAAAATAAAAAAAATAAAAACTAACCGGGTACTCGGTAACCGGGTACCCGGAAAAACTAGATTTTGTGACCCGGGCCCGACCCGGGAAATGTCGAGTCGGGTACCCGACCCGGCAGGATAATTTTTTTTAGAGAATTACCCAGTTTTTTTATATCCGGGTCAACGGGTCGGGTCAACTGGGTCGGATAATTTTACACACCCCTATTGATCATTAATGTATTAATTATTTTCATCAAATAAAAATTATTTTAATTAAAAATTAAAATATTAGAGATTAAAATATTTAATAAAAAAGAATAAAGTTAAAATGATCAATTAAGGCAAATATTAAAAACTAATTTTATCATTATATCTTTTAATTTAAAAATATATATATAAACTTACTTTTCTAGTCACTTATAGTAAACTATAAAATAAGCGTGTCATAGGACACATTTATTCGACGAAACTAAAATTAAATATTGAAAGGGGCCGAAATATTAGATTATTTAAGAAAAATAAAAAGACTTATTAGGTATTTAAACTCGAAATTCAGCATGAACAAGCGACCTTAGTGATTAAGGGGATTGTTGTTATCCTTGAGGTCCTGAGTTCAAGCACTACTTATGTAGGGGTATGAGCGTTTATTTTTAAATAGTTGAAAGTCTTTGTACATATACTACCTTGTATTCACCTTAAATTTATAATAAAAAACTCAAAATTTACAAGATAACTTCTAATTTGTCTAATATTTAAACTTACAAAGACCTAAATTGTAATTAGACTAAAAATTTGAGAACACGTACTTATCATTCTTTAGTTCGACCACAACTTGATTAAGTATTTAATAATTTTTTTATATTTTTAAATTTAAATATTTATTTTTACATAAACCAAAATACTATTAAACTAAAATTATATCGAATATACAAATTTTAACAGGGGTTGGACCCCTTGGGCCCTAAGGGAGCTTCGTCCCTATTTATTCAAACTCTACTTTCTTTGATAAAATGCATATTTAGTACTTAAAATTTTAATTGTTTTAAAATTATACATAATGTTTAGCTTTTATTTTATTTTAGTACCTCCTCCATTAAAAACTTAGCACGTTTAATACATAAACTATCAGTTTTGGTCCGTTTTAGTACCTAAACTTTCAATTTTTTTCAAAACTTAATGTTAAATTTTGAACGGGTATTAAAATGAAATAAAAATTAAAGTTTTTAACGGTGGGTATTAAAATGAAATAAAAACTAAATCTTAGGTATGATTTGAAAAAATTAAAAGTTTAAGTACTAAAATAGATTAAAATTAATATATTAGGTACTAAACACATAATTTATCCTTTTTTAGGGGACTCATTAGAAACTACACCAACTTTACTATTATTATTTCCCCTTGTTAAGTATGCACTAATTAATGCGATCTATGTATTTTCTACCAAGTAAAATAAAAAGAAGGAAGTCTAGGTGAGGAGATTGGGTGCATTATATGTGGTTTAACCAAAGAGTGTATTTTAATGATTTTAGACTGAATGAATCGAGAGATTTCGGTTAGAGATTCAAATAGTTATTGTGGTCGTATCGTGTTTGTCGCGATTGTAGAGATTACAGATAACAGCGGATGGAGCCGCTACTGATATATCACAGACCGCTATTTAAATCTATGATCTTCATAGTAAAATAATTATTATTATTCTCTGATATCCCATATTCAAATATCTACCGTTATTTAAATCTCTGATCTTTATAGTAAAAGAATTATTATTAATACTTGAGATCTCATATTCAAATACTTAAAATATTAAGGGTATCTTTGAACATATATTATCTAGTACTTATCTTAAATTAATAGAAAAAATCATTATTTCAGACCAAATGCAGATAAATTCATAGGAAGTAAGACCAAATACCTGAGAGTATAAGTTAGAGGAGGCATTTCTTTGATGGCAATGGCATCCAACAGAGGTCCACAAGTTGGATCTTCTTGAACCCCTAGGTTATGGAAAGTGACCCTCACTGTTTTATCCTTTGCCTCGAAAGCAATGGCCATGGTGTCACCCCCATCGGTGCTGTAAAGCGTCTGGATGGAGACGTCGGTGGTCTGACCAGGCACCGAGACCCTTAGCACCTCATCTTGGGCGCAGGTCCTGGTAGCACCGAACGTGATCGAGTAAACGAACCCGGGGTTCACATTCACGTAGCCTCACCGCATGTGCACCATGGGGTATCGGGAAGTAAAACCCGCCAGGCTGAGGCCCCCCCGACACGAACTCCACTAGCCCTTCGATATCCCATCCCGGAAGCGAGTATTTCCCCACGATCACCGTCTTGTTCAGCTGCTCTTGCTTCGGTGCTTGCTCGAAGTTGCCGTTCTTCAAAAATCCTGTCAACAAAACCATTCCCCGTCAGTACTATAATGTCACATTTTCAGGGGATAACTGCTTCCAGCCGTCCTCTCGATCCAACCCTGCACCAGCTAGGGTACCAAAGTCGAGTATTGTACCGTCGACTGCTGATGAAACGGGTGGCGTACGAGAGGCATTGCACAGAGAGAAACCCAGAGTAAAGCAAAGAGAGAGTAACCAAGCAGCCATTGTTTTGATGCACAAGAGAACAAAACAAAGCACAAGTATTAGATAAAAGGAGAGCGCAAGATTCGCATTTAAAAGGGTAAATCATGTAAATTAATTTTAAAATAATTAAATAATTAAATCACTTAAATTATTTTATTGATCGTGTCCACCCTAAAATTTTAATTGTACTCACCCATTAATTTTTTTTATGTATTAGCATATGTATGTCCACCATAAAAAATATTTCTGAATTTTTCATTGATAATTTCTCACTCTTTATTTACACGTAGAACAAAGATAAATATTCACCTTAAAAATAAGAAAAAAAATATTATTAATTGAAATCACATATAATGTGATAAATCGGATCTATCTGATAAATTTTATTTTAAATTAAAGGTGGGAAGGAGCCATGTTAAAGTAGCAGCAAATTAGCCGCGAGATGTGTGGTTTTGTCTCTGTTTTTCAATACCTAAGTTGGACATTTTCTTCACATCTCTACATACATGTGTTGGACCCCAACGTGATATTAATACATCGTCTGGCATGTGATTTGCTCCTTTTGTTGATTCATGTTCATTTATAG